GCTTCTAGTAACAAGTGCCTTACTAGTAGTAACAAGAAGCTACTAGGAACAAATAGCTACTAGTAGCGTCCGATCGCTCCAACCTTGGAGGAAAACAGACCGATTCTTGCCATTGTTTTGAAGGAGCTGGCTAGACCAGGTGGACTTCATTTTCGTGCTTGATGCTGGAATCAAGGCTGGATCATTTGGATTCTCTGGATCTTTCATGTTCCAATCCGGCAGGAATGCTTTCCGAGCCACATCATGCGTAAAGTGCCAGGGACCTCGGTTACAATTGGACTCTTGCGCTGTTGTGCTGTAGTTTTTTGAGTCGACTGTTGTTGTGGTGTGTTGATCTTCTGAATTTCTGGATTGCTTGCTGGCTTGATTCACTGCCTGACTGAAGGATTGATTGATGGATTGCTCCATTTGTTAGTCACAAGTCTAAAGTCTTCTTTTAGCACACGACTCCGCTTTTGTTCTGTCTGTTAAGTCCTGGTCGTTTGCTTGCCCACAGGCCGCAGGAAGAATTTGAACGGGGAGTGCTTGCCGCACATGATCGAGCATTCGAGGTGACTATGCCTTGTTCGTAGAGTTCCATTTCCGGAAATAGCAATGGCCTCCACCCTAAGAGCGGTGGCCTCCAACCTTCTGCATTGTTCTTTGTTTCCACTCCTCCCTTTTGGGACTGTATGCCCGAAAAGGACGGGCCTAAGATGCGAGGTGGAAATCAGTGCTAGGAGATGTCATCTTAGTTGAAGCGTTAGGAGCAGAGGTTCCTACCCAAGATCTGGGATGCCATGGGAGCTCTCAACATCACTGGAAAGGCAAGCACTGCGAGCACTGCGATCACCGGTCCTCGGAAAGGTTTCAGACGTCACCACTCACCAAAAACTAGAGTGCTTGAGAATATGTTTGCTTTTTTTCTTCTTTTGTTTTTCTCCTTTCCATTATATATGTCCCCAGAGCCCTAGGTTTTGTACATCGCTACTCCTTGAAACCGATGTTTGCGCATTATTTTTTCTCAACATTCTCAATGCTCAACACTTTTTGACAATGAGTCTGGCGAAGAATACTCTACAAACAAGAACGCGGGCCTTAAGACACTAGAATCCTTTTCTTTTTTTGGCAAAGTTCAGGCACGCAAAAGGGCATTGGACAGCATTGACGAGGGCAGGAAGGTGCTATCAAATTCTCTCAAGCCGATAACGCTGAAGCTTCAATTCTCTCAGCCTCAAAAAAGGACACAAACTGTTCCTTTGGCGATGTCAGGTGGCCTTGAAACATTTGCGGGATCCTTCCTCGCCTGATGAGGTTAAGGCAACCGTTTTGTGATTGCTTTAATGTGTTTTTCTTTTTAAGGGTGGGTAGGCCGCTAGTCGAGGTGAGGTAGGTAGTAGATAGTAGAAGAGGTAGCTATTACCAGCAAGTAGCTACTACTACATATGGACGCAGGATAGCTCACGCTTCTCTCAAGGAAGCTTCCCCCACCGCCCTAAAGGTGGTGGGGGAAGCTTCCTTGAAGAAGCGCTCGCACTGATGATTTGGTTCCTAGATTTTGGGGAAACTTAAGGTTGGAGGCCATCGCTATTAGGTTGGAGGTCATCGCTCTTAGGTTGGAGGCCATCGCTAGGTTGGAGGCCATCGCTAGGTAGGAGGATCGCTCTTAGGTTGGAGGCCATTGCTATTTTTTAGTTTTACAGATTCAATTTAAGCTTAACACTGGCATTCACCGCACACAACGTGTCAAAGACAGGCTTTTGTGTCCCGATGGGTGGACTCAGCTCTTTTGCGCTTGAGTAAAAGCACTCAGGGTTACTTGGAGCCAAATAGAACCAAGCACCCAAGCACAAAATATGTTTAATTGTTCTCATTGCTAAGCTCTAGTTTGCTTTTCCTTTAATTGCGCTGGATCTTTTTCTTTCGCTTGAGATTGCTGATCGCCAAGGCGACCCGGAATCTGTAGAAGTCCCAGCGATTCGATCTGTCAGTCTGTGCGACTGTACAATGCAGGATCGTCATTTGAGGTGCTTGATTTGCAGCAAGCTGTAGAGCTCTTTACAATGCTCCAGGCCAAGTTTTTTGAGCTTGGCTGCGTGAAAGACTCGTCTTGGTGCTTTTGATCGCTGCGGCGTCTAAGATCAAGAGTGGGGCTAGAGTTGAAGGTACACAAATGTCACTAATGCTCTAAGGCTAGGGGTTTCAAAACGAGAGCAAAGAGGAGCAAAAGAATGCAAAACGAAAGCGCTTTCGCTTGACCCTGGCGGGTCGAATTTCGCCTGCGCTCCACGCGGCGCCTTCATTCAGCGTGGAGCCCAATAAAGTCATTCCCCTGAGTATGTCCAGGATATGATTCCCCCATTGTTTACCCATTGTGGTGGTGTCCACGGTGTCCCCCATGTCTGGACGGCGATGGGCTGTGCTTGGTTTGTTGGAGTAGTACTCCACAATGTAGCGTAGCCTGAAATGCTGTAAGCCTCTAAATAAGTATTTCAAGTATTTCTCTACGTGTGTCAATTGTTTCGAGTCTCGAGCAGTCTTAGTTTGAGTGCAGCAATATGTATTTTTGGTCCTCACCCGGGGTTGATGCATTCCGTCCATTTTTTGTAAAAATATTTTGTTTAATCTTGGTTTGCTTCGGTCTCGTGCTTCGTTTTTTGTTGTTTGTCTTTTCCTCTTAGGCAGGCCCAACCCCACGAAGCGATTACAAGGCCGTGGCGGCTGTGGGGCGCTATGGACACATAAATAGTGTCGTTGGAGCAGGTTGCTGATGCAAATGATGCACCCAGTCACCTTGCATTGTCTGCATCACCAATCCACCAAAAATCAACTCCGTGGTTGGTGTTGATCAAGTCCACCTCCTTCACAAAGCTCAATGCCTCCGTCGGCCACCACCGGTTTACGTGCACTTTGTAAAGACTCGCTTCGTTCGCAAAAATAGCTGCAGCCTAGCCTATCGGTTGGCTTTAGACAATGTTGGACCTATTTTGTCCTTTCCTTGATTGCTTATTACTTGTAAAGTGTATATTACGAGTCATCCTCTACTTCCGTCCAGCTTTCCCCATTTTGCGTCACCGATGTTCCTCGAAAGACTAGCAGAACTTAATTCAAAGCACACTGGAAGCATGCCGCCAAAGTACCCTCCATCCCTATTCGATTTTGCTTTGTCTGAACAACATTCTTCCTCAGCTGCTTATTGTGGCTTCTGAGGCGTTCGCGGTTTTTAGGGCTTAGGAAACCAGACACCGAGTAAGCACAAAATGTATCCTACCCAAAGATTTGGATTTCTTTGAGAGAACCTGAGAGTAGGAAACCTAGCTGAATGGTTCGCCTGCCTATCGACTGCCCTTGAACCATTTTTAAACGTTTGCAGTGCGTTTTGGGAAAACGGAAATCTCGGCTGACCTCAGGTGGCGCGACCGAAGTGCAGCCTCAGGTCCCTGGCGAAGCGGGCTTTCGATCACTGACCTTGGAGCTCAGACCTTCCAGGCACAAAACCTCCACCTAGTAGCGTCCTTGCTCCTAGTAGTAAGGCCAGGAGCGCCTAGAAGCGTGCTTTCTCCTAGTAGCGATGCCAGGAGCCCCTAGAAGCGTCCTTGTTCCTAGTAAGGCCAGGATCCCCTAGTAGCGTCCTTGTTCCTAGTAGCGATGCCAGGTCCTTCCTCCTAGTAGGGATGCCAGGAGCCCCTAGTAGCATCCTTGTTCCTAGTAGTAAGGCCAGGATCCCCTAGTAGCGTCCTTGTTCCTAGTAGCGCTGCCAGGAGCCCCTAGTAGCGTCCTTGCTCCTAGTAGGGATGCCCTTTGTGGCTAGTAGCGTCCTTTGTTCCTAGTAGCGATGCCAGGTAAGTCCACTGTACAGGATAATACACTGTCATGCTACGAACTTGGTAGGGTTCAGGACTTTTTAGGTAGAAGATTGCAGGGTTGTTTATTCCTCAGGATTTGCGAAATCATGTATTCTAATTGCACAAGAGCGCACAGTTTGCTAGTAGGTTGGAGGCCATCGCTAGGTTGCCTCTTTTCTTCTCCCTTTCCTGTCCTTTGTTTTTGTATTTGTAACATAAACAAATGCTTTGTCGATGAATCGGGTGTGCACCGACTCATCTGTACATCCACCGACTCGACCGGAAGGGTCGCGAGGTGCGGCAAGCGTAACGACCACATAGTCGTCAGCACGACGTTCCAGTCATCCAATACCAGATTAAGACACTTTGGACAGAAGTTAACTCTCAGGATAAATGGATGGAGGCCATTGCTATTAGGTTGAAGGCCATCGCAATTAGGTTGGAGGCCATCGCTAATAGAGGCCATTGCTCTCAGGTGAAATGCTTCTGTTCTTGCAAGGCGTCACACATCATTCGGCGTGGCAGCGGTGCTACGTGCTGAAGAGGACCAACAAGAAGTGCAGTTGCCTTGCTCCTGTCTGAAAGTGGAGACGATGTGCGCATCAGGCACCAAGTGAGGACAATCAACATTTGGACAAACGGTCTTCTTTTCAAATACGAAAGACAGCATGAAAGAAGAAAGGAAGGTCCAAAGGTAAAAAAATCCAGACCGGTCTAAAGGTCTTGAGAACAAAGCAAAAGAAAACAAGAAAAGACGAGGACAGAAAAAAATAGGTTTCGTTGGAAGTTTTCAAGTTGAGAATTTGGAAAG